CAGGCAGTAATCCCAAATCTAATGATGCTCTGTGATACTACTCCTTGTTTGAGCTCTTAATAAATGACTCAGCAGATCACAGTAAATAAGCCTGTGTGACGGCAGAATAATTCGATGTGTCCTGGAGCTGACCTGGAAGTATTTTCTCCCTCCTCTTCACTCTCCTGTGAGGCTGCAGCTGTTCCAGCAGCTCGTCTCCAATGATCTGAGAGATGATGCTCTCTGAGACAAGAAACGGGAAAACAAGCAACTGTTAATTCATCTCTTTGTCCGGTTCAGGCTGTCAACACCTAAGTGAAAAAAATATGTAATAATATCTTACAAGTGCCTGTACTTACACCACCTGTGATTAAAAGGACAAGGATGCTGATATTTTTAGATCCGTTTTATTGCTCATTTATGGATAAATATTAGGGCTGTCAATGCATTAATGCTCACAATTTATCTTTTATGCTAATTAATCATATTACCAAATTTGACACCGTCGTGGAAATTATGTTCCTGGTGAGGGATTGAGCAAATAATTGGGTTACAACAAAACTTTGTCTTTGAAGAATTAATAATTAATAAAAGAGAATAAACAGATACAGCTGGTCCAGAGACCTGCTGCCTGGGGCAGCTTCGGGCGTCTGGCCCCGAGCAAAGGGATGCATCATCATATACACAGTCTAGGTTTCTATGTTTTGGGGAGCAGAGATCCTTTCTCAGCCTTAAATAGACATTCAAGGAGAGGAGAGGAACAACAAGAGGGGAAAAACACCAAAACAATCTCTATAGTTCTGACCTAAACCCTGGTAAATGTGGACGGACTAACATAACGAGTATAGGAGAAGGAAAGGGTAACGATAAAATACACAATATATACCTATAAGACATAACAATATTAGTAAAAATAATAGTAATAGTATTAAAAGAACATACATAAAAGATTAAATGTAAGAGGACACAATTTTAACAGACACCAACTTCTTCCCGTAATTATAGAGCAGATTCTTACCTGGCTTTACTTAAGCTGTGGGAAACGCATAAAGCAATGTCTGAGGAGACGTGCTAAACAGCAAATTTGGTTTTAAAAAGCTTCCAGACAGAAGTTTAGATACATCTGCAACTATTTTTTGGATATGTCCAAGCACCTGCTGATTCCAATAGATATAATCCTAAAACAATTATGGCATTGTTCTGTCACCACAGCGAAAAAATAGTGGCAAAATTCAAATTCAAAAAATACAAATGTGACACAATCTACAAATAGAACATGAAATTCACCTGCAAACAAATCACTTTACATTCATTCAAATTCTGGTTTTCAAGTACAAGTCACTGATTTCTATTTGTGAATCATGATGTGTTTATTTGTAGATTTTTAATCTTTTTGTATATCATGCTTTATATCTGTGGATCATGAAGAGTCTGTTTGAGGATTTTGTATCTATTAGTAGATCGTGTTTTACATTTGCGGATCATGAGAACTTTGTTTGCGGATTTTTAATCTATTTGTAGATTGTGTTATGTGTTTACAAGTTGTAATATCCGTTTGTGACTTTTAGTCTGTCCATTTTCAATGTTTTTGGCACTGATTTACCTCCATAGGATACTTTCAATTCAAACTGCAAACTTCCCCTGAGAAGAATCTGACATTTAACACATTACTTTTTTTAGTTATTAAATGTATGCATCCATGAGTTCCACAGTTCACACATCCTGTGTTCTCAGGATTCTCCTGTTGAGTCTTTTCACATTCTGTTTAGTTTAGGTTTATATTTAGGTTTTTGGTTTATTGGTCAGTTTGTTATCTGTTAGTTTGCCTCTGTTGTTCTGCCTTCTGCTTGTTCTGTGTAGTTGTTCTGGTCAGATATCTTTAGTTTAATTATCTGCTGGTTTGTTTCTTAGTCATGTATTGGGTTTCAGACTTGTCCGTCTGTTGTCTTATTTTTAGTCGGCCTGTTTTAATGTGTATTCATATGCGGTATTTTTCTGTGTACTCTGTTCTGTTAGTGCTAGTTTTAGTTTGTTTTCCCTGTTTTCCCATCAAATCTGATGTTCTGTGTGCGGGGGTGTTTAAAAGACTCTTAAGCCTCTCTGGGACAGTCTTGTCCATATTTGAGGGCCCTAGCCGTAGTGGTTTTTGATCTGGCCCAGGGCTTAAGTGTAAATATCCTAAATCATCCTTTTTATAGCGTTTTCACAAACAGGAAAAAATGGTTTTACAAATCTGAAAGTGGGTTTCTGGCAGCATTAAGGTGTTTGAAAACCTGGTTGAGTAAAGATTGTATTACTATTTACCTAAAGTATGAAAAGGACTCCTAATGCATTAAAATGTTCCTGTCAGTGTTTCATTATTATATCTGATGTTTCTGCTACACTAGGCCCTGTCTTGCATTTTACTGTGATAGTTGTGTAAAATCATTTTTGGGTTGTTTTAATGGAAAGTCTTTATAATCATAGACCCAGTGCAAACTTATTGTTCTCCCCCTCTAATCAATGTGTTCTGGTAAGCTTTTTCTGTAGAGTGGTGGCAGAAGTATTCACTTTATTTAGACTACTACCACACAGTGAAAATACTGCAGATTGTGCTATGTCCCAGCCTTGACAAGCCCCCAATTCACCAACAAGATTTACCAACAATTCCCACCAAGAGCAAGCACTAGGAGAGAGAGGCAAGGATAACTTCCTTTTAAGAGGCCTTTTGTGAACATAGATTATATGCTACTCAGCAAAATAAGAGATTCTAATTCTGATCTATTCTGATTCATCAAAACTTAACTTATTATCGCTATAATAAAGTAAAAACTAACTAGTTTGTCTAGAATTTCTTCACTTTCTTCTCCATCACTCCGCACTTTTGTTTCATCCCCCCTAAAATACAAATAATATTTTAAATTGTATTAATCACAGCCTTAAATTGCTTGATTAATTATTAATTGCCTCATTTATGTCCACAAAACAGGTCAGATATTTTGAGAACACTTAAGATATTAGGTTTAATTTGACAACCGTGCTCCCTTGAAAAAATTTGACATTTAACTGTATTTTAAAACTGGTTTATTATAATGCTGCTCAAACACTCACTGTCTCGTCCAAAGCAGCCCACTTCCTCATCCTGCAGCCGGAGGATATGCTGCAGCCAATCAGCTTTGTAGAAGTCGAAGAAACCAGACAATCCACAAATCAGGACTGTTGACAAAGAGAAGAGGAACTTAAGTCAGTCCCTGGGACATTTAGCCTTCTGTTTTCTACACTGTTCTGCCGAAACTCCCGCTGCAACTCAACCGTGCAAGGATTTACATTTGTTCACAGAGCAGTTTCCCTCCTTTCAGCAGTTTTACACGAGCATCAATATCTCATAAAAAGACACCTGAAGGCAGAGAGAATCAATAAAGTGTTGAATTAGTGAACAGAAAACAGACATGTCACAAACACTAAAACATGCATCACCATTGACTTAAAGCTGTTGTGGCCTGTTTGAACCATAAAGACTAATAATATTTGATCAAAAAAGGATTCACCTATTTCATATCTTCAGTCAAAGCCTATTGCTAAAATTATTTTGTCTGATTGGCTGATTTGTTTTACATCTTTTGCGTGATTTGTTAGAAAAAGGTCAAACTTGAATAATGCCTGCAAGAAACTAACACAGCAGAGAGAAACTCAAAATATAAATAAAATATAGGGCAGTGTTTATACAAAGAATGTGGGATGATTAAAAGTAGGAGGTTTCATATCTGGTTTCAAAGCTAAAACCATTGGTCGCTTAATTGATTAGTCTGTTGACCAACATAAAGTTAAACTATTTTGATAATCAATTAATCGTGTCACTCACTTTTTAAACAAAAAAGCCAAAATATTCAGTTTACAGAATCTATAGGCTATTTTGTGTGTAGCTACAAATGTAGTTTAATTATGCAGCCTTGTGCTGTATAATAATAACAAGCTTGTACCTTGAATCTCTAATGTGAGGATTTCTTGCTTTTGTCAGATTTAGATAATTGGAAACTGAATTTATTTGGGGTTTGGACAAAATGAGACTTCACCTCTGTTTCTAGAACATTTTGATTGGCACCATTTCACTTGTTTTTTAACTTTTCATAGACAAAACCATTAATTAATTAATCAAGAATATAATTGTAAGATTAAACAAACAGAATATTCTTTAGTTGCAGCCCTTAACAACAGTTTAACAAACCAAGGCATAGCTATCAAATTATCCAAAGGGTTTTATAAGCTTGAAAAATTGTCTAAACTCGAATTTTCTCAATGTTTTGAAAGCATTTCAGATACAAGTGTCTTACCTGACAGGAATAATATGCAAAATATATGCAGTTTGAAATAAGTAAAACATATTTTAAAACACATGTTGAAACACAAACTACAAAAAAGGCAAATGTGGAGAAAAGGACAGACTCGTACCACAGTGCCCGCAGCAGAAAGACACTCACTGTTCTCGATGAAGATGTCCACCGTCTGTTCGGTCAGACCGTCTCTGATGATGTCCTGGTTGGTCTTCATCATGTTGGAGCAGAAAATCTTCTCGTAGCTCCGTTCAGTCATGTTGACTCGGGACTCTCGAGTGTCGCCTTTCAGCAGGTTGCTGCAGCCTCTCTGAGCGGGAAACACAAACCAGGAGCCGCCCAGAAACTTATAAACACATTAATGCTGCTGATCTCTTTTTATCTTAGCATCTGCTGTCAGTTCAAAAGGTGCAGGTGTTCACCCTCAGCATGTATTCATACAAACAGATTTTAAAGCATCATGTCAAAATTAAGTTTCTAACCAACTGCAGGAAAAGTTTCTCACATGTTTAGCCTGCATCATTAATAAAAAAAACATAGATCCATATGATAGTGTGGCCAAACGATATTTAACTTCCCTTTTAACAAGCAATCTGTTTCCTGCTTTTCTGTAATAGAATAATTTGGGTGTTTTAGTTACCATTTTGCCGATCATGAAGTAGAGCAGCTGGTGGGACAGAGAGTAGTGTGGACAACCGAAACGAGTCATGGTGTCCCGGCAGGGCTTCGTGACGATGCAGGGCGTCCCGTTCATCTTCCTGCTCAGACACACAGGTGAGACAGACAGGTGAGTTCCCTCACACTGAAACGACATCACAGTTTGTCTAGTTTGTCAGGAAATAGTATAAAATGTAATTTCCCACCTCACAAATGGTTCATTTTCTGACTGTTTTGTCCGACCAAAAGTCCAAACCCCAAATTTATTTCATTTATTTATTATTTTTTTTATTATAAAGATCATTTATTTGATCATAAAGTTTGTTGTCAATCATTTTCTGTTAAAAGAAAACAGCTAGATAATATTAACTGTATATGTTTGTTAGTTTTTTTACTCTCAGGCTGCATATGGCCCCAAAAAGCTCCTCTAATCAGAGGGCAGAGCAAGAAGCAAATCAATATTTACACTTTTTCAGAGTTTGGCAGCTGGGCGATCAGAGCACTCTGTTTAGAGAGACTTTAGTGAGCGAATCACACTAATACTGTAAACGCTGGGAGATGAAAACAGAGTCACAGAACTGGAACACACCACTACTCCCAAAAAGTCCTCAAACCTCAGCAAAACAGGTCATTTGTCAGTGCTTTCCAAAATGACAAACATTTTCTGATCTGCAGTATTAGGCAACTAAGAAGTCATAAAACACCGACTGTGACTGTTAGACAGAAACCCTCCCTCCTTGTGTTTGTCGCGCTGAAATAAAGTGATGCTACGGCGTGTGTGTTGGTACCAGGTTCCCAGCAGCAGGGTCAGGCACTTGTCACTGAGCTGCTCGTCGTAACACTCGGTGGTCATGGAGGAGGGATAGACCAGGCTGGGGTCTGTGGAGCTCCACTCCTGAGGAATCAACCAGAAGCTCCACGACAGCAGGGGCTCAAACTCTGCAGGACACACAGGAGAGGAAGCTGAGAAGGACACCACAGGGCTCTGATTTCACAAAGGTGCAGTACAGACGGCCACAGGAGGCAGTTTGTCGCTAGAAGTCACACTGCAAGATCACAGCTGCATCTTTCAGGACCTGCTTATTTTGTCAAGAGTTTCACATGAAGGTATTAACCATTTATTAACGATGATCAACCATTTATGAATGATTATTAACAACTGGAATTAAATAGCATGTTTTTATACTACAGTTCATCTCATGTGTAAATCTCATGTCCTGTGTTCTGCTTTGAGAAAATGTCAATAGCCAAAAGGGACACTTGCATGTGGCGTCTGTCCGTCAGTCTGTGACAATATAAATAAGACAATATCTCCAACAATAGACAATATGGGGTATATAGGGTCGCTAGGGTTGCTGAGAAAAATTAATACATTTTGCTACTCAGTTTGTAGAAAAGTCTACAAAATACAAACGTTGATAACTTAGACATGCAACCTGTGACGAGGGCTTATAAAGACATATTGTTTTGTTTTTAAGGGACAAAAGCAAAAATAAAGTTAGGAAAACGATGGATTACAGCCTACATGAACAGTAAAAAAATATTTTTCCTTCTTGTTGATAAAAGATTTACCATGTAGACATTGGTTGGACTTATCATTGTTACTTTTTACCAATACTAATTCACATTTATCACCCGGTTATTTTAATGAGGTTTTCATGTGAGACAGTTGAGTAGATTTTGTTTATTTAGTAAAAGTGAGTTTTCAATTTGAGTAAAAGGGTTAGTGTAGCCTACTTCCTTCGCTTTTCACACCACATCACATGGATTTGTGGGAAATGAAGTCCCCCCTCTCTCACCTCTGTAGTATTTGGGGTCATTCTGCTGCAGGGCAGCGACGGCCTTGTCGAAGCTTTGGTCCAGACGCTTGACCAGAGCGACGGCGGAGGTTCTCTGAGCCCAGCTGACCGTGTCTGTGTGAGGCCACGTCCGAACTGCTTCCTTCAGTTCAGCTGAGACACAAAACAACACAGAGAAGACATTTACAGACGTTCATGGTGCCCAGATGATGAATCCTAACTGTGGTGATCCTCTGACTTTTCCTGTAGCGCCACCACCAGGTCAACACTTTAATGTGTCCAACACTTTGTGAACAAATACCTCCAGAACCTAGACCATTATTTTCAGCTGCATCACTGCATGTTGATGTTTTTAGCTGTCCCTACACCCTGCTGAGCTGATAGCATAAAGACTCTTATTTAGTATAGACAGAAACAAAACTAAGTAAATAAAGCCCCTTTTAAAAAAAGGGAAACAAATACTTTGTGTTGGCAGCAGTTTCTCAGTCCACACTGACCAGCCAGCACAGAGTGTGGAGAGGTAGCTGAAGAGGAGCCAGTTCCCCTCCTGGGTGCTGACAAGGTGCCCTTGAGCAACATAACGAACCACTAACTCCTCTGGGCGCCTGACTACGCGGCAGCTTCGTCACTCTAACGTCTCCCCCCAACTGAATGTATATCCTGTGTGTGTGTAAAAAAAAAAATAATGGAGTGAATTAATGTAATTTACCCTAAAGGGGATTAATAAAGTAATTATACTTACAAGTATTAAAGAATAAAGGCAAACCAGGGCAAGAAAGAATGAATGAAATGCCTTTTGAGATAAACAAAGAGTGAGATGAGATCTTAAAACACTGGATGTGAGGAAGACTTATTCAAAGTCTCAGTAACCACCTAAACAATGAGCAGGGCAGTTGTTCTGATGACCCCAGAGGCCTGTTGGAGCTTAAGAAATTCACTGATAGGCTGTGTGTTGTTGGAGTCAAACCACATAACCTCTTAAAAGCAACGAGAAGTATTTTGAATTTAACAATATAAGTATGCAGCAGAACTAGATAGATATTTTATTTAAGTTTTTTTATTTGGTTCTTTAAACTTTTAAATAAATAATTCGCCTCAAACCTTTCCATGATAAGCAGGATCGTGCTCTACCATTTCGCTAAAAACACTGCAGACATTCCGTGCAGCTGACCCGTCTGTTTGCAGAGAGGAGACTCTTCCTGCTGCCCGTCTCCCGGCACAGGACTTGTTTACGTACCCTGCAGCATGAGGAAACCGACCACCCCGTCCAGGTTGATGTGCTCATGTTGCCGCTCCAGGAAGGATGCTCCCCTGGAGAGGCTGCTCAGGATGTCATCGATCACCTCCGCGTGTGACCCGCACACTGCGGCAAACAGAGCCAGCACTGCGGCTAGCTGGTGCCCTGCAGCCCGCATGTTCTCACTCCTATAATCCCAGTCTGGAGGCTCCGGGACCGTCTTGTCCGACCGAGACAGGGGAGCAGGGAGGACAGGCTGTCTCTCTCTCTCTCTCTCCCTCTCCTCTAACAGGGGGGAGGAAACAGGCATGACGTCAGGAAGGCTTGCATTACGAAATCCAAACTTAATTTAAACTTAATACACATAATTTGCGTATTTACTTATAACATCACCTCACATTTTGTCAGGTAAGTCGAGACCAACATGTTCACTTTTTTTTCTGTCTCGGAACTATTCACATGTAATAATAACTAAAGATAAAAGCTGTCTATAGAGCTTCATGCAAAAAGAACAAAAACAGAACTGTCTTTTCTAGACAGTAACCCCACATTTGCGAAATCACCCTTATTCATGCACACACGTGATCCATTACAGTCGCGCTTGATGACAACATAACAGGGAACTTCTCTTAATATCTGACGAAGCATTAGAAAGTTTTTGGATTTTGTCAGAAAGTTCATATTCTTCGGACCTTACATTTACAAATTGTAGAAATTTTACTTTTGTGGAAAATGTATAATGCTTAGAGCTTCTGCTGGCACACCAGCTAAAGTATGAGGACCAGAGATGAAAGCCGTTCAACAGTTTATTGTCCTTAGTTTCCCACTTCAACAGTTGACTGACAGATGATTGAACAGCGAAAAAAAGGCAAATGAAAACAATCAGTAGACAGAAGTTACTCTAACGGGTCATAATCAAATTAAAGCACTCACTAGCTGTGAAGGATTATGGAAAAGAGGAGCAGGGCCTCATCAGGCCTTTTATCAGTTCAGGTGTGGCCTGACAGGTTGTGGCTAAGCCCCGCCCCTCTGGAACTGGGCAGGATGAAGGATTTTCTTCACAAATAACAATATTAATAATGTGAAATAAAATGTGTTTTATTAACCAGCTGGTTTCTGAATCTGTCTTTGGATGCTGTCCCCATGAGCCTGCAAGTAGAAACTCAAAACAGGTTAAAGATATATGTCTAGCCTGCAGTTTGTGAGCAATTCACCCAAAGAGATATTTCTCCCTTTGCTGTTATTTTATTTGAATAGGCTAATTAATGGATTTCAGAAACAGGCCTATGTCTTTTACTTCACAAACAACAAAAAAGAAAACATGTTAGGAAAAAAATATATAGCCAAGCATTTTGTTCCTTCTTCTATCAAATCCAAATAATTGTCTTTCTGACCCTTTAGATATTAATGTTGTGACCTCTTAGTGGGGTCACGGCCCTACTTCAGGTCTCTGTTTGTTGCATCCTCTGGTGGCAGAGGCCTGATACGCCTTTTTCTGTGATGCATCTAACTTGAACTGAAAACTGGTTTATCCCGTTTCACTCGTTGGACCTTTTTTTCAAACTCTATTTTTTTTTTTTTTTTCATTTACAGGTCATGAACAATGACATGTACATATACAATTTATAGGCTAATATAAAATTAAGACCACACCAACAGATTCAAAATAATATAGACAAATATAACACAGCCTAAAAAGTTAAAATAACCACAAAAGTAAATCCAGGACGTAGACTAAGACAAAGATTAAATAAGAACCCTTAGAAAGCAGTAGTGTTGTGACAGTTTGACTCCTAGGATCATGTTTTTCATCTGGGCTGTCAGTCAAGTCTCAAATGTCACAAAGGATAGGCCACATAATGGACCCTCACGTTGAATGGAAATATCAGTATAATGAAAACCACAATGCAAAAGTTTTAAGCACAACTATTTCAACAATGCAAACAACAAAAACAAACCACAAAATAACACTGTGCAAACAACTGAAACTGTCCTCTCTCTGGGAATCAGTTCAATATTCACTTAATAGTTCACTTAGTCTAAAAACTCTAGCTAATTAGTTCATAAGCACTTCAAAAGCAGTTCATTCAAAGTAACAACGTAAATTCATTTCAGTCCAGCCTGCAAAAACGTAAGTTCAATTCATTCAAAATTAAGCACCAGGTCATCAACACGAAACAAACCACATTGGCTTCATCAATGGTGATAAATGATTCAAAGTATATATTTTATGAACGTTTAAAGTCTTTAATATATATTAATACACTTAGTAGAAGTACCATTCCTTGACATTCAGTAAATATATGTTGTGATAACTGCGTTTGATCAATGAGCACAGCAACTTGTCTGAAAAGGACCTAAAGAGGTGGATGCATAATTCGGCACATCCAATGTTGTAGGCTACCTGCCGAGATTCGCATCCACCTCTTTTCAAAAAAGAGTGTTTGCTCTGCTCACTTCGCTGTCCTCCAATATTTAGACATAGGCTATATAAAAATATAACCTAGATAAACCAACATCAGATGTAATGGAAATTTGCCCTTTAGTGAGTCTTCTGAAATAAAGAGTCCAATCCAGACGTCTTTTAAGGGTTTTATTCTTTGCAAAGGGTCAGACAAACATACAGAGTGCAAAACAGTCTGCAGAGTGTAAGACAAAGAGCCAGTGAAGAAGCAGGTGACTTTATACTGTAAGGGTATTACGCAGCTATCCAAGGGAGGAAGGGAGTAGGGACCAGCTGTCCTGAGATGAAGGCCTATCAAGGACGGTCTGATAAGAAAACTCTCTAACGAGCATCTTTCCCATGGAAAACTTCACCCAGCTGTAACATAATAAAATAATAAAATACCACACAGTGAAACACACAGTGGACAGTGGTTCAGTTGCTGATTGTGCACGCTTGTTGATCTGTTGTTGTACTGGTGCAGGCACCTTCCTGCAGTGGCTGGCGTGAATCCACGTAGCTCTTTCAGCCACTTTTACCGCTGTGTATGTTGTCAGGAGCACCTTTCCACCTCTGCGCCTTCCACTGCTTTTCTTCTGAAGTCCTTAACCACCACAAAATCTCCTGGCAGGAGACTGTGCAGTGGTTCTGTCGCTGGAGAGGGTAGGGCCTCTTTAACCTGCCGGTGTAGACGGGCAAGAGCAGAGGACAAAGTCTGGCAATACTTTAACATTCAATCATTCTCACAGTGATGTGTGTCAGGCAGTACTCTGCTCGCTGCCTCTGTCCCTGTTAGTGGAGGGCGGCCTAAAGGAATCATAAATGGGTTCAGACCTTGACCTGGTTCTTATCCTGGTTCTCATCAACACCACCGGCAACACCTCTGTTCATGGAAGACCTGTGTCTTTACAATCCTTAGCCAGCTTAACCTTTAGCATTCTATTCTGTTTCCCTACTGCGGTAGGAAAAATGTGTCTCAATCAATGTCCATATAAGAGCCAAGTTGTTTTCATGGCTTCACTTCCAAAAGGTGTTCTGTCGTCACTGTCGATTTTGGAAGGCACACCCCAGCATGGCAAGATTTCACAAACCAGGGCTTTTGCTCCAGTTGCAAGTTGGAAAAACTTCTATCCATTTTGGAAACATATATAACAGTTACGTATTGCCTTTGCTTGGGTTTAGCTAAAAACCTCCCTCATCAGGTGGTCACATGGTTCTTCTGGTGGTGGATGTGCCGCAGATGGAACCTGTAATCCTCTCCCTGTCTTAGGCAGATTGAGCATGTTTGACAGAAGTTGTGAGGGTGTGTTGGGAAAACTTTTATAAACCTGTCTCTTCCTTCATCACAATATTTCATTAGAAGTTTTTATTACAGTTTTACAACACCAGCAATCTGTAGTTTTCTAGGAAGGCTAAAAACGGTCAACAACAACAAGACAGTAATTCATTCACATGATGTTAGTTCAGTCCATTATATGATGACGTCACTCATTTCACTGTAAATAAAAACAAATTATGGCATATTATTCTGGGTGAACCTCTGCTCTGTGTGTGTAAAACAGCCTCTCTGAATGAGTTTCAACCTTGAGCTTGTCTGATAACACATCTCACACACAGACTTGTTCTCATCACATTTCACAGTTTTGCATTCAGTTCCCCCTTTTCTCTGTGGAGGAGAGTTCATGGGCAAAACTCTGGACCATGTTTTAAAAAAAAAAAAAAGGAATTTAAACAATAACATCAAACAACAAGGAACGAGCAGGCAGCATTCTTTTCCTGTAGAAATGGCGTCAATCTGTTAACGTGCATCACATTTTATCATCAACATGGCAGCAGCACAAAAAGAAACATCCAGCATTACATAAAAGCAACAGACACAGCAAGCAACATGACAATAAGCACCGGGCATCTAGTCTGCTTCCAAGATGTAGTGTCAAAACAGGTCATGTGATCGTCCTTTGGTCAGCAGCCTAAGTAAAAACGTAGGTCATGTGTTTGTAGTATCTGAGTACAGGCAGACTATAGAGAGCCGTTTCAGTCATCTCAGCTTTGTCAGTTCAAGTCAGTCAAGTGCACTGTTAGTTTACCATGAATCATGGGAGAAAGGTTTCTCTCTCTGTTCATTCTTTGTCAGTAATGGGATCCCTTGTCCATAAAATCATCATCACCTTCTTTATGGGGATTGGTTTTGGAATAGATGAAAAGGCTTGAATGCATTGGGAGAGAGAGCTTTACTCTCATCGTGATCACATTCCCAGAGAAATTATTCTGTCTATTCGAATTGCAGTTAGAGACAGACAGACTAACCTTGTGTGTGGCCATTGTGGGCGAATCGCTTTAGCAACACAATGGTCAACTCAGCACGCTTCGTGTGATGGACTGCAGAACGGAAACCGACCCGCCGCGCGGGAAATGTAAAATTTTAAAAACAGACCTTTGTCTTTTGTCACCAACAGAGAAATGTGTGGTCTGTGATGTAAACAATAATGTGAAATCTTTAAACCTGTAGTGCTCACTGGTGCACTAATGCATTTACCACCACTCTGTCGCTCTGTTGGTCGGCCTTCATCATAATCTTTTTTGAAAATGTGGGTGCGTACAGGTCACTGCAGCCTGTAGCAGGGAACAAAAAGAAAACATGTTTAATATTTCTTCTTTTTTTATTTTTAGTAAATATTATTTCACACATCAAATCATCACAAATCAATCAACTCAAACTTTGTGTTAACTATATACAGTTTGCACCTCAGACATGAGGTCACAGTTTATTGTTTTAACCACGGTGTGTAAAAAGATGTTACAGGAACTAGTTCAATGGTTCTTTTAACCTGAGCACTACTTTTTGCTCTTTACTGTGTTCTCAGATTCCAACTTACTGGCCT